ATGCTCTTAAAGCAAGGACACAAGGTGGAAAGGATTCCTTGGAAGGGTCCAGCCTCCTGCCTATTAAGAAAGCTTTATTGGACCCAGCTGGAGATTGATTGTGAGTTCTGGAAATAGCACACCTTTCCCTTCAAGCCATTAAGTAGGGTGCCTTTCATTTTTATAAAATCTGTTCACTATCAGCTTTCTTGATACTTTCATTTTCCCCCATCACGTAGCTGCCTTGGGACCAAAAGCAATCCTGAAACTTCTCTATATTGGTGTTTCTACATAGCATGAATGCTCTAGTGTGTAGAAAGCATCTCTTATGATGTGGATGTGTGTACTCCTTACACACCCAATGGAAGTACAAGGGTGCATATTTAGGAACTTGATTCATACTGTGACAATTTGCAGAAGTGGAATCTTTAAGTAGTAGAACCACACGTAAGGACCTTGGATCACTGAGGACCCTACCTTTGGAAGGGACTAAAGCAGTTCTGCTGCAACCTCTTTGTAGATGTCTTGAGAAAGAGTTGCTATGAAAGCCTGAACCTGACACTTGAATCTCATTCTGGCTTCCTCTACTCATATGCAGTGTTACCATTGCCATATAATATGATATGGTACTATTGAGCAGGTCCTGGCCAAAGTTGTGCTGATGCAGACACCATGCCTTTGAGCCTCCAGAATTTTGTACTTAATGAACTGCTTTCCTTCAGAATTAACCTGCCTCAGCTACTTCATTATAGTGTGAAAAAGGCGACTGGTACAGTATTTCCAGTATTCCTCTCTGTCATTCTGAAAGAGAGAAACTTCTCCTCTTAATGTAGTTTATTTGACAGTGTGCAAAGCCTCTGCTTCTCATAAATTTTCCTGCTGCCTCATCCTACCAGGCTTTCCACTCCTCCAGCTAAAACCTCATATTGCCAGCTACTCTGGAAAAATCCAGTTTCCTTTCCCAAAGGCCAGAGATTTTTCATTTTGGTTTGGGGCACATATTACTGCAAGATATGACCCCACTGCCTGAAAGTCATCAGCAGTTGTAAGTGAATGGAGATAGCTACTCCTCTGGGATCAAAAGTTAAGGAGTGACATTAGAGAGAGGCTATGCTCCCAACAGACTAACATAGATGAGTTAGAACTTGACACCCAGGTGTAAAAATTTTAATCTACAAAGACGTACTATTTGATCAATTGCTACTCATCCAGTATTGATTTTTGATTAGCGTCTTGCTAAATGGGCTCTGAAAATATTCCATCCACGCTGAAGCTAAATAAATAGCCTCATATCTCTCATTCCCTCCCCTTTCTCTCCCAAAGATGGGAGTGATTCCAAGGTTAGAAAGGACCCACGGTTAGGCATATAGTCTGCACATAATTGGAAGAAGCACGACAATCAGATAACTATGGGAAAAACAAGAATCTCTGAGTTTCTCTTCCGTCCCTGCACAATAGCAACCAAAAGAGGGAAATATAACTTCTAAAAGTTTGTTCCAGGCCACAGGCAAAAAAATCTGGACCAGTCAGATATTTATGCAAAACAAGGCTTAGAAGAAAAGAGACCAGACCCAGTGAGGGAGAAACTTAAATTCAAATTGAACATAGTGCTCACTCCCTCTCTGAATATAAGCTCCTGAAAGCCTTTTTCTTCACTGAAAAAGAATGCCTTTTAAATCTTATCTCTTTTAACTAGAAAAGAGGAGATGTTCCAACTAACTTCTATCAACAACTGACTCCTACAAGAATAGTTATTTTAAATGTTTCTTTCAAATTAACCCCTTCCTTTTTAAATTATAATATCTGCACAGTTTAATTAGTTATTTGGGCCAGGAAGGGCTGCAAATCCCATACTTTCTGGGGAATCACAAGACAATGGCAATGTTATGTCTAAGAACACACTAAAGTTGTTATTTTACATTCACCCCCCCACCCCAAAACTCTCAAGCTTCATTTTTTTTCTTCCCTTGCTATGGCCTGACATCAGTGGACTATAGTAAAAGACTTCTATGCCAGCTGGTATCTGACTAAATCTGGGTACTGGAAAAAAATTGGAGAACAGAAAGAAAGTGAGGCGTCGATTTTATCTCTCATCTCCTTCTCTACTATACTTAGATTACATTGTGCTACCTAAAGCCACAACTCTTATCTGACAGCCCATCCCACACAGCTATAGTTCCTGCTGGATTAGAAAAACACTGTTACTTCTTGTCACTTCTTCAGTCTTAGGGGTGATGATGGATCCCCATTGTTCAGCCTCTTTCTGCTTAACTTCACTTTTAGGTTCCTTTAACTCTATGTGCACCCCAAAAGAATTCTTTCATTAAATTCATGTCAACTAAGTCCCCTGAATATAACATCTTTGTCCTGTCAGGACTTTGATGTAAAAACTCATTTCCACAAATTCTATTCTGAAAAATTACAAAAAGTTCCCTAACATGACAGAGAAGAAAAGAGATCACTTGATCACATTTAATTTTCTTAAAGAAAATGATACTCCTTTTCCTAACTAAGCATGCTACATATTCTCCATACACTGTGTTTTCCTAAATTAAGGTTACATTACTGAGTCAATGCAATAAAAATGAGGATTGAGCCAGCTCCATTTTAATTTTAGCCATTCTTAGTCATCTTTTTTAGGGAAATGGAATGCTACAATCCCAATTACATTCCTTTCCTCCCAATGAGGTATGTTCAGCTTGCTTTACCTTAAAAACTTAATCTACTTCCTTGAGGGAGATAATACTTGACATGAATTTAATCACCAGGGTTTTTTTCTAATCTGTTATTTTTCTTGTATTCCTCACTTTGCTGACTGAAACCATATGCCAGACTGGTCTTCCCAATATTTACACTTGCTTTTACCTACACATGTCCATTACACACTAAATCCTATAGTACCTCCTACATGTAGGTTGAAGAGAAATGCTTAGGACCAGATATGTTGCTGATTTTATACCTTCTTTGCAATTTGGAATATTTGCATAGACTTTACAAATTGAGCCTTCCTTACCTCAAACTACAAAAAAGAGATCACTTGATCACATTTAATTTTCCTAAAGAAAATGATATGCCTTTTCCTAACTAAGCATGCTACATGTTCGCCATACGCTGTGTTTTCCTAAATTAAGGTTAGGAATCTATAATGCTCTGAAACATTTTGAGCACCAACATGACACTTATATAGCTTTGGGTATTGGAGCATTTAAAATTTCAGATTTTCAGATTAGGAATGCTTAAACTGTATCTTTTTTCAAATCTATCTAATCTAGTACCCAGGCACTAATTGAGTTCAGGACTTGAACTTTTATACCTAGATTATGAAAAAACCTTTGGTTTCTCTCTATCTTCTTTCATTCTTGTTATTATAGCCGGACTGATCCTTGGATAAATGCAGACTTGTTCATGTCCCTTCTCTTTCAATGATCTTTTCTTAGGTTAAAGCCCAAATTATTATTTTGCACTACAATGGTCAACTGTTTCCATTCTCATCTTCAGCTTTTATTGCCTATTTTTAATACCCATTTTACATCTGCATGTGGTTTTTATGCTTCTGCTTACACAGATCTTTGCCTACTGTGTTCTTTACCTTTGCTGATTAATGCCTGCTGTTCATCTCTCAGACCAAGCGTAGGAGACATATTTTCTGGAAAACTTTTCCATGAATCCCACCACTCTAAAACTGCTTGATTGGCCTCTCTGAGATCCTTTAGTTTCTCTTCATTTTCCTAGCACCTAAGATATACTGGCAATTATTTTCTGTCTGTCAATATCTTATTACTATCTTTTTTGGATTAAAACCTTTGTCTTCATTCTTTTAGTACTAGTATGTAACATAGAACATGACTTATAGTAAGAGTCTCAAGAAATAGATACTAAATGAGTAGCTGAGTGAATGAATGAACTGAATTCAGTGCAATATATGCTTGAATTGTCTTATGGACCTAAGGTCACTGTGAGAATCCTGACTCTTTGAAGGAAGAATATTATCCATGGAAAGTTTTCTTTTTCTTTTTTCTTTTTCTTTTTCTTTTTTTTTTTTGTCCTTCTAGATAGGGATGTATCCAAAGCAGGCAGTAAAAATTAAGAATAGCACATGAGCTGGTCTTTTGAGTCACAGGCCTTCCACAAACCCCAACATTTTGAATATGGATCAATAAATTTAGCCTGAATCAACTGAGGGAAGGAATGAGTGTAATTTTGCCCAAAGGAGAGAGATACCTAATTCTATACCAAATGTCAGGCATGAGTACAGATGAGATAAAGGTCACGCCTAAAAATGCACCAGCCTCAGGTGACATCAGGGCTCTGTTCTTTCATGTTGAACTTAACTCAGATGGAGAGATCATTTAATGAGCAGTTATTGAAATAGGCAGAGAAGTTTGTATCAACACCAGGGGTGACTGATAACAGGACCACTGTGCCACTGAAGATTTCCTAGTCAATTTTAGTGAACTCTAATAGAAATTTCAATATGGATCAGTGGAAATATCTTTCTCATCATCACTGTAAATTCATATTTATTGAATACTCAACAAATGTTAATTTCTTCTTAGAACATTTGATGAAGAGCAACCATTTCCATAAGGGATGGGGAAATATTTGCTACCATATTTTGATGCTAGTTACCCAACCAGGACAAAATAAACGAATACCTATGAATATTCTAAATTATAATGCAGAAGGAGCCTCAGATTATATGCAAGCATTCATGATTAATGCCTTTCTTACAGGGAATTCTCCACTCCATAACCTTCCTCACAACTGTGAAGGGAAAAAATTAGGCAAAGGTGCAGCCCTAAGAAAGTCACAAATATTTCACTGAGTACTTGCAAAAATGTCTGTGGATGGCAATAAATATCAAAAGAAGTGGTAGGATCTATCCTTGTCTCTATCATGGTCCTTCCCTTTACAACTGTTCTGACTTGGCCTTTAAGTCTTAAGATAAATAGAAGACAAGAGCTGAAGAACAGTAAAGAGATATTTGGTTCTGCAATTACATTTCAAGTGAGTATCTTCTCCTTATTTTTTATAAAAGGGCACATTTAGATTTGGGCATCCTTGGCTACTCACTGGTTGACTAAATGTTCAAGAGAATTACTGTTGTAGGTGAATTTTGTAAATAGTGACTGACCCACTGGTTTATAAGAAAGCAAAGGTAAATGACAGATGACTTAAAAGCATGCAAATACTAGGCTGCTCTATTGGACAGTAGATACAAATTGGCCTAATCTTGCTTTAATACCTCTTTTCCAGGTTCCATCCCCTTCCCTGTCCCACCCTCTCCAATCAGTCTTCTTTCAAATCTCAAGGTTTGAGGCAGTGGTCAAGCTCCATGGCATAAGAATTGGTGTTCTTCATGATGCTCTCCACCAACATGATAGGCTTAGGGTTTCTTCCAGCAAAGCAGGAGAGCCAAGTACAGATCAACATAGCTGCAGCTGCTCCACCTCCAGCACAGTAATAGGCCCAGCCAAGCTGACAGGTACCTGTGGAAACAGGGACACATACTTGGGAATTGTGGTATCATATATTCTGTTTCATAGCAAACTATAGAAATATTCACTGAAAGTACAGTAGTCACATTTTTACATTAAGATATTATAGTTACGGTAGAACATGAAGTAGTAAATGCAACTGAGTTTCCCATTTCTTCCTTTGCTACTTCTGGCTTCTTTCAGCAAGGGGTTATAAGATTACTTTTCCTGTTGAAGTGGAACCTAAGGATAACATGGGTAGTGATAGTGTGGTGCAGTCTAATGACAATGATGGCAAGAACAAATTGACTAAGTGTCAAACAGTATCCTAAACTCCTTACACATTGATCATCACAGTAACTACATAAGATAGGTATTATTATTATCCTTGAACTACTAAAGATATGCCAACTGAAATGAAGATTATTTGTGAAAAATCATGCAACAAAGAAAATGGTAGAGTTAGTTTATAAACCCTGGTGCATGGTAACCACAAAGCTCCACACTTTTAACCAAAGTGCTTGTCTTAGTTACTTTCTTTCATTGCTGAGACAAAATAACCAACACCCACGAGTTGAATGAGGAAAGGTTCATTTCAGCTTACAGTTTATAGAAGTTTCAGTGCATAGTTGCCCAGCCCCAAGGCAGGGTGGCATGGAAGAGGAATATCACAGAGAATAAACAGTTCATGGCATGGCAGGTAAAGGGCACCAGCAGCAAACGGTGAGCCTGCCATTGTTTTTAATCTCATGCAGGCTACAAGTGTCTCGGGTTGTGCCACTCATATCCAGGTTAGGGATTCTGTGTTCAGTAAATCTACTCAGCCACACCCAAAAATATGCTAATTCCAATCACTGGACTAATTGAATTACCAGATATCCTTAATCCCAGTATCACATACCCTAGATCTGTAAATTCTAAAAAGTCCAATCTATGAGTGCATGAAGCTTACTGGGCATATCAAGATACAAGCCATCAAGGTGATATGTAATTGGATATCACATTTTTAAAGAGAATAAAAATAGGGAAAAATTAGAAATTATGCAGAATTTCACTAAACAAAATGATAGGAATTCAACAATGTTTGTTATACTGCATATTGCTTTCTTCAAATTAGTGATTCAGATTACCAGATAGAAGCATGAAAAATTAGTCAAAAAAATTTAAAAGTGAAAAAAAATTAAGTACTAACTGCTCTTTTGAATAGACTAGCAGAAATTAGCAGTACAATTATCCAAACTAAATATATCTTTTTCCCTTCCTTCTTTTTTCTCCTTTCCTTCATCCCAATAGTTACTTCTCTTTGAACAGAACATATAAACAATTAAAAATATCAGGCTGCTAAAATTCAAAGACACAGTCCAAAAATAGGTATCTAAGATGAGTGTACACTTCTTAGATGAAGAAATATAAATGGCAAATACATACATTAAAAGAATGTTCAACAGCACTAGTCATTTGAGAAATGAAAATGAAAACAAAGTCAAACTATAGAAAGAATGGCTATCATCAAGAAGTCAATCAATAACAAATGCTGGAGGGGCTACGGGGCAAAAGAACCCTTTTCCACTGCTGGTGGGAGTGTAGACTGATACAATAACTATGGAAATAAATGTGTAGCTTCCTTACAAAACTAGAATTAGAGGTCCAGTTCGACCCAGGTATTCCCCTTCTAGATATTTTTCCAGAAAAACTGAAAACATCATACCAAAGAGATATATGTACATCCATGTTTATAGCACTGCAACTTTTCCTAGTTAAATACAAATGTTGATCAACTGAAGAATGGATAAAAAAGATGTGGCATTTTTATACATTGAAGTATTACTCAACTATAAAGAAAAATAAACTCTAGGTTTTTCTAGAAAAATGGATGCAACTAGAGACCATACTCATAAGTGAAAGAAATCATACATGCACATGTAAATGTTGTGCTGCTCCCTAGTGTAAGAACTTGAAAGAGCAAATAAAATCACCTTATATTTTATCAAAACTAGATTCCTTTAGAGGATTTGTGGGTTTTAAGCATTCTTTCAAAAATTAATAATGCTCAGAGAAAGAAGAGCCACTATTTTATGATGTATCAAAATAAATAATTACTGGGGCTGAGGATATAGCTCAGCAGTGGAATCACCAGCCTGGAAAGCATAAGGTCCTGAGTTCAATCCCTAGTACCACCAA